TTTACAGGAGAGTTATTGCTCATCTTTGAGGAAGTGTGGGAAGTATCCTTGGAAGTTTGCCAGAGGAATCACTACTTGCTTTATTCTGTTTTATAGAACCAGGACCAATCGACCCTCCAGTTCTTCTAGATGTGAAGTCAAGAACAATTTTGGTCACCTGGCAGCGCCCTCTAAAGCAAAATGGGGTTATTACACATTATAACATTTACCAGCGTGGCCATCTCTACTTGAAAACTCCTGGAAATGTCTCTACTTGCACAGCTGTCCATTTACAACCCCACACTCCCTACCACTTCCAGGTAGAAGCCTGTACTTCAAAAGGATGTTCCCTCTCACCGGAGTCTCAGACTGAATGGACACTCCCAGATGCTCCAGAAGGCATCCCAAACCCAGAACTGTTCTCTGATACACCAACATCTGTGATTCTATCTTGGCAACCCCCTACCCACCCCAATGGTTTAGTGGAGAACTTCACAATTGAGAGACGAGTAAAAGGGAAGAACGAAGTTACTACCCTGGTGACTCTCCCAAGCCATCACCCCATGAAGTTTGTTGACAATACGCCTGCACTTAGCCCATGGACCGGGTATGAGTACCGGGTGTTGATGAGCACTTTTAATGGAGGTACAAACAGCAGTGCTTGGGAAGAAGTTACCACGAGGCCCTCACGACCTGCTGGTGTGCAGCCACCCATGGTACAAGTGCTAGGACCCAGCTCGGTCAAGGTAAGCCGATCAATGCTTTGTCTCTTTTGCAGACTCAGGGATTTACCCTGGATCCACTCTGTGTTGAACAGAGCCATCTACTGACAATATGTATGCATTTGCTGTTTCAGGCACGCACTGGAGATTTTCAGATCTGGGTTTTGGCCTTTGGCCCAAATTATCTGGAATTCAGTGTCAGTGTTTCATTTCTCCCTCTTTGCCCTTAATTATATTGTTGAGATGCTTCTATTTGCCTCACACACCTGTAATACTTTGAGTGCCACAATGGGATGCTTCGCTTAACCACCACGTCAGATTTAAACAGATGAGAAAATGAGAAGAGCTAGGGAAATGTGGAGGAATGGATTAGCATATTAACAAAAGTTTCAATTACCAATATCCTGATTTTCTTTTAATGATCAAATGATCAGAATTATAGAGAAAGAAAGAAAAATAGCATATTGCTGGGCTCTCTAAAAAAGTGTTCAATTATTCTCCACATTCTACTGGGAATGTGCTCTGGAGGACGGGATAACTACCATTGTTTTGGCTTGCATACAAACTTCATTCAAGGGAAATTAGTGTAACCAAACAGGAGGGAGTTTTGTAGCTTAGAAGCCTCTTTTGTGTAAATACACACATGCTTCCATGGATCCAATCTTGTATGAATGCCAAAAGCCTTGGTACAGTAGCTTGCTCACCAGAGCACAAAACAAAAGCCATTTGCATAACAGGAAAGTTCATCTGTTGACATGATTATTTGGATTTTTGTCTCTTTCTCACCTAAAGCAAATATTAGGTGATACTAAATGGGAAAAATGTTGAAGATATTTTATTTAGCCTACGAACAAATAGAGAGCACAATTGCTTAGTGACAAGAAGCTGCACTACAATTCCAAAGACACTTGGTTCAATTCCAGCTGCGAGAGAAAGATGGGCAATCTCCTCCCATGCAATTAATGCCTCTGAAAACCTGTTGGAGCGTCAGCTCTGGGTCAGTTCCAACTTGATGGTGCACAACAACAACAAACAATATATCACTTTTGAAAGTATCGATTAATTTAAAGAGTCTTGATGATATAGTAGGTTAAATGTAGAGCTGATAACCAAAAGATCAGTGGTTCAAACCCACCAACTTCACAGCAGGAAGAGATGGAGCAGTATGCTTCTGTTAAGACTTCTGAGCTCCCAAACTTGATTGTGCTGTTTGAATCTGTCCTTTTGGTCACTAAGAGTAAGAATTGACCCAATGGTGATGTCCTAGCAGCAAGAAGCTTACTTCAATCCCCAAGGCATACAGTTCAAAGTCACCATCTGCTCTGCAGGAGGATGAGCAATCTCCTCCCATGCAATTAACTGCCTCTGAAAACCCACTGGAGGGTCAGCTATAGGTTGGCTCTGACTCCATGGTACACAACAACAACAAAAACAACAACATGACCTTGGTAAGAGTAATGCACTTTTCCCCTAGAACCATAGAAACAGCAAGTGGTTTAGTCACTACGGAGTACCACTGCTAGCCCAAAGGCCTCGCATCTGGTGGTTCAAAGCCACAAACATTTCCTTGGGAGAAATATGGTTAGATTCCTCTGATGCAATTTACAGCCTCAGAAACCTATTGGAGGGTCAGTTATGACTCAGTTTTTGCTCAAAGTAATAAGAATTAATATAAAAAGCAACAGCACATGGCAAATGTTAATTAAACACTAAAAGGAGATGGATTTTAAGTATAAAATGTTTAGTGTTTATTATATAAATATGTTAGAGTCAGCTACTTAGGCAGATAGTTAAAATTTTACACCACGAATGATTTAAGGCAATCATGATAGTTTCTCTCCATTCAAAGCAAAGGCAGATTTAAAGAATGGAGTTATTAATTATTCTATAAATAATGCTGTTGTTTTTTTTTTAATTTTGGGGGAATTTTGCAAAACCTTGGCAGCTTTTCCAATAGCTACAAAACAATATAATATTGTCCCTTACCCCAAACAAAACTAAATAATGGACATTTTTTCTGAATCTTTTCTAGCAAAATTTATGTATTGTTGGATGTAGCAAAACTGGAAAAGCACAAATAACTTCAGTAGAATAATAGAGTAAATACATACATAATTCTACTTGATTTGGAACATATAAACTATGATCAAAATTACCTACAATAGGTTGCTTGCCTTTTTCTTTACTTTTCTTCTTTAGAAAATAAAGGGCTTTTGATTTTTATTTTAACTTCATGGCAGGATTGAAGTAAAACTACTTGTTCAATTATGGAGTCGATTTGGGGGTTGTATGGCTTAAAAAGTAAACTAGACCTCATATTGTTGTTGTTGAGTACGGTTGAGAACTGACCCTCCAGTGGGTTCTCAGAAGCAGTCAATTGCATGCATCCTTCTTCCATGGAGCAGCTAGCAGATTCGAACCATGTGCATTCGGGATTGCAGCACAGGTTCTGACCGCTAGGCCACCAGAGCTCCCATAGACCTCATGGGCACTCCCAAATCCTACGGTCTCACTCAGGTCAGGAATCTAAGCCTCGAAGGAGATGCCCAAGATTTTCAGACACTGGCAGTAGCAAAACTTTTGTAAAATCAACAGCTTTTATTAATTCTTATTTTTATAACTAAGAAAAATCAATCAACTAAAAGTGTCAATAAGAATGTTAACTAAATGTGAGGCCTCATGATACCTATTCAAAGAACATTAAAAGAACATGGCATGTTTGTTACTTATTATCGTAGGTCCCACTGTATTTTGAAAGTTCATAAGATTTTGCAGAGTATTTGTTCTAGTAATTGAGTTTATCTGATAAACTGAGGTAATATGACACCAATACAATGATTTCTCTGGAATATAAATTTCCAGACTCAGAATTGCCAAAGTGAAAGATGTATATGGACTTAAGGACAAATATCAGAACAACTTGAAATTTTATTTAAGATATACTGCATGTTGTTCCAAATGCCAGGATGAAGGGGCATGTCAGTAACGTTAACACCAGTGATAATAACTTCAGTTACACTTAGTGTTTGCTAAGAATCATATATATGGGTGCCTATTATAGACACAGTTGTGATGTTAACAAAGAATACTGACTATTCCATGGATTGCTAAAAGAGCAAACAAGTCAGTCTTAGAAGAAGTGTATCCACGGTGCTTAGGGACAAGAATGGTGAAACTGTTTCACATACTTTGTGCAAGTTGTTTAGGAAGGATCAGTCTTTGGAAAAAGGTGTCATTCTGGGAAAGGTGAAGGGTCAGAGAAAGATAGGAGGAATCTCATCAAGGTGGAGTGACACGGTGACTGGTAGTCAACCTGTGTGTGATGCAGGGCAGGGTAAGGTCCCCATCTCCTATTCATAGGATCACAATGACTTGTGCTTCACTCGGCAGTACCTAACAGCAACAACATTGACGTTATAGCTACTGAAGATAACAGCACAGATCCCACTCCAAAAAAGACCTACTGCCTGGGCTTAATTCTATTTCTTTAGTATTGAAGTTTGGGGGGTTTTTTAACTTGTGAATTGACTTACAGAACACATCGATTTTTCCCTTCAACAATTCATGCACATTTTTGCATCACTGATTGCAGTCCCCAGAATGTAATATCACTCATCCCTCTTTCTTCCTTGTGCTTACTTTTTCTTTTGCTCCTTCTTAACTAATCCCTTTCTGCCTCCTGAACTTTTTGCTTGGGCAGATGTTGCCCTTTTGATCTTGTGCAATTGATTGTCTGAAGGAATATGTATCTCCTAATGTTGTTGTGTAGGGAGCTCTGGTGGGCTAGTGATAAGAAACTGCACTGCAATTCCAACAGCACATGGTCCGAGGCCTCTCTCTGAGGTGTGTGTGTGTGTGTGTGTGTGTGTGTGTGTATTTATATCTATATATTGCTGTTGTTGTTGTTAAGTGTCATCAAGACATAGATGACTTAAAGTGACCCTATGAACAAAAGTACTGAACAAATATGTGTATGTGTGTGTGCGTGCACGTATACATATGTGTGTATATACTATATATGTGTATATGTGTGTGCATATATGTGTATGCATATATAGACACATTTAAATATATTGATATATATATGTATATATATATGTATATATGTATATACGTATATACGTATATATGTATATATAGATATTGTTGCTGTTGTTATGTGCCATCGGGTCGTTTTCGACTCATAGTGACCCTATTTAGAACAGCCCTAAACCCTGCTCTATCCTGTGCCAATCACATTGCCTCTGACACACCCATCCCGATTACCCCAGTCACTGAATCAATCCACCTCATATACAT